TAACAATATCTACTAAAATGTGCCCCAGGCCGGGCCTAGGAAGGTGCTCCTGGTCTTCCGGAACGGGGAGGGGGAGAAGGTGGTTGTCCACATGAACAAGTACAATTACAAGACGGTTTGCATGGACCCTTACAAGACAAACACATACATACCACAAAAAAAATATAGCAAAAGCCAACAAAACAGCTGCCACAAAATTCCAAAACCATGCAGTACACTTGCAAGACAAACACATACTTATTGCAAAAGCCCACAAAACAACTGCCACAAAGTAAAGTGTAAGTAGGGTCCACATTTTGGCTGATTGCGGAGCTAAAGATGGTGGTCTGACTAACCTGAGTGAGAGGGGGTGCCTACGCAGTTCCACGCCCCCAGCCCAGAGCGCATGTGCCTAAACAATTGATACAGTCGCGCGCTTTGATTGGCAAACGACACGAATCTGTTTTACACCGTCAGGCGAAGCAACAGATACAAATTGCATGTTAGATACGACATGTTGGATTAATTGAATAAAACAAGGAATAGCACGTGGCACAAACATCAAAGCGACAAATGCACATAACAGGTAAAACAGAAGCTGTTTTACCCATGGTGCTCCAGGTAACCAAGACCATAGATCACCGTTCCATCCGTTCCATGTTTGAACGGGGACATGGGCTAGTTTCCTGATATCTGAGGTCAGTTGAAGAACTACTTCACCTACATCGTCTATTTCCAAACAACAATTAGAAACATTTAATTTCCCACATACTCCTCCCTCTTCAGCTAGTAAATAATCCAAAACCATACGGTGTTGAAGGATTGCAGCACGCATCTGTCGAGATTGTTGGGTTAAAAGGTCTATAGCATTAGCAGTTTTATTGGTAATAATTTCTAAAACTGCTTGCAATCATATTATGCGGTTCAAATTATAAATCGGTTCTTGTGCCCCTGATATTGGTTCACTGGGATTCCAAGTGGCAGGCCCATAATGCTCAATTATTCTTTCAGGGGGCCACTCATTTTCCCCCCACCTTTGTGTTCCTCCTATTTTAACGTCAACAGATCGCTTGCTACGTGCAATCCTTTTGTCCCCTAAATTATCATATAGTCTCACTCCCAATCGAGGACCACCTACCTCTGGAAGAAGGAAAAACAGAGGTCGGATAATGCCTATATAACAAATCCCTGACCAATTCGCTGGTAGTTGTTTGTAGGCAGTATGTCCACAAATCCAATAATGGCCCTTTTTGGCTTTGGCACCGTTAGCAAATGGTCCATCTGCAGTCTTTGGGAATTGGAAATAAGTTGTGTTCTCATTCCCCAAAGGACTGTAAAATTCTGTTGGTCCGTTGCTGTTTGTCTGGCCGGTACAATACCAGGCACCAGTGTTGTTCTTCCACTCACAAGTTTGATGGTAAATATGGTTTCCAGGCCATCGGAGAAAGAAGGTTTCATTTTTGTTCGAC